CAGCTTCTAGGCCTCTCCCACTGCCTGGCCTGATGGGCATGGAAGATACCTAACTGTTCTCTTGATAGCATTTACTACTCCTCGCCCTCTTACTGAGCAGCGTGGGGGGTGGGGAGAGAGAGAGAGATCAAGCGACCCGCAGCCCGCGGAACACCCGAAGGCCTGCATCTCAACCGGCTGTGAATCAGGCCTTAGATGCTGTCGTCCCGCGCTGCAAAATGGAGTGGGTTATGTATCGAAGAGAAAAGCGTGCGGGGTCCAGCGCATAATTCAGGATGCTTGTCAAAGGCTGCGACGCACGCAAAGGAGGTTTGCTTGGATGCGAGTGCCTTTGACGCCCGTGGGGCTTGGTTCCAAGTAGATGCGTGACAACAACTTTCGGGGTAGAAGAGAAATCATTGTGCTGATCTTCCTGGCCTGGGATGTTATGTCTATCTAGGATCTAGAGATAAAGGGAGAGGTAGATAATTTTAAACTGCGTGTAAACAGTTCATTTAACTTTTTTTAGAGGCTTATTTTATGTCAAAGGAAACTGGTCAGAGAAGGGATGTGCGTGGGTACAGCGTGGGAGTTGCCCTAGTTTCACTGCACCCATTCACCATCCACGTAAGCCAAAGGTTCCTGACACGAATGTGATTTAGCGCCTTAAAAAACAAAAAACCAAGGCAAATCCTACAGATTAACTAGATTGCGTATAGAGCTGCGCAAACGGCAACGTCAGCTCAGACGACACTGGGTATGGAAAGTTTGAACGTCTAACTTCTGAACCGCGGGCTACGATCCATCCTCCTGCTTATGCAAAAGCTTCAGCTGTACAGAAATTGGTGGCGCAGGATGCTTGCATAATCTCCCCTCTCTTTGAATTAATGGGCGGTGGGGGTGTACCCCTCTGAAGAAAAGAAATCGATCATGTTCAGGTTTTATTCATGTCGACAATGTTTGGAGTTATTCCGTATGAGGAATCCGAATCTGATTTAGGGTACAGTCCTAATGCACGTTTACCTGGGAGTAAGCTCCACTGAACTCAGTGGAACATATTTCCGGGTAAACATGCCTAGATTTGAGATGTACACCCGATTTTAAATCTGTTGAATTCAGATTGAAATTAGATCTTGTACTTATGCTGACTTTGGCCGTCTTAAATCCAGGCGCTTCTTCCCCATTGTGTTTTGCAACGGAGGAAACTCTGCAACTGTAAATGTTTCAGTCCTTTGTGATCTGTCTGCTAAGTCCAAATCCAGCTAATACGTTGACTGAATAGAAAACTTGTGCCTCTGCCAAATGAAGGCTGCAATCCTAAACCCGCTTACTTAGAAGCAAGTCCCACCGAAGTCAGCTGAACTCTATGACGTACTAAGTTGTCTAGGTCCTAAAATAGGTAAAGCTTTTGTAAAATTAGTTTTGTTCACAAAAGTCTAAGGAGCTCAGGATTTTGCTCGGAATGCTGTTTACTTACAGATACTTTGAAATACTGTATATGTTTTATTAATACAAAAAGACGTTCCCGGCTTTTCTATCCAGGAAAAAAAATATTTTTAGATTTCCTCATGAGAAGCCTGATAACATCTCCCCCCTCCAGTGCTTGAATTCACAGGCTTCCTATGTTGAAAGAGCGCTGGGGCTTTCCATCGGGTTCCTTCCTTTGGTCAAGTTAACTCTCACCAAAAAGCGCCTCTTCCCCTCCTCTCCCGGGCCTGTGGGATTTAATATAACCTTTTATCAGGCGCTGCAAGAGAAATATCGATACTGCCAGCGACGCATCCTTATACGGGGTCACATTCAGCTGAAATTTGGCTCGATTAGAATTATTACATGGCAAATTGTCAAAATAACATTTATCACGTGGACACGAACCGCCATAGATACAGTTTAGTTACCTGGTTAGCTAGCATTCATTGCACAGCTGTGGGCCACACAGAGAGTGCATCTGCTCTGTGCATCCATAATATTATATAAAATATTTAAAGTATTTTGATAGTCTCCTAGCCCCCTTTAACTCGGCAGTAATGTTTTATCCAGCCCATTTGTCTCAACTTTTGAAATGGGTACCAAAGCTCTCTTGTTTCTCCCTGAAACACTGATCAGTGCCAATCTCAAACACGAACCCACCCCTCCTCTCTTTGAAAATCCTACTGTGGGGCTTTGTCGTTGCTGTTCTTTTTCTTATTTCTTTCTCCCCCCCCCCAAATAAATCCAACTATTTGTGTGGGGTTTTGTTACATCGTTTTCCATATTTGAGGAAGTTTGCCGATTCTTTTTGGGGGTTACTCAGAGATCTTCCTCCAAGCCTGTTGTACAGTATTCTTCTTCCCCTCCACACACCCCAGACTTTTGCTAAAGATGATCAGATGCCGGTCCTACTGCTTATTGGGAATTAAGCCCACCACCCCGCACCCCTCAGTTGAATGGGCCAGGCTTCCAATAAAGTGTGGGGAGGATTTCAGCACGAGATGTAAAGAGGACAGTTTGGGTCGAAGCTCACGCCTGGGTTGATTTTGCACCAGGCCCATTGGAAACGACGGCGGATCTCACCTCCCTCCCACCTTCTCTCCCCCTAGGCTGGAAGTGTCCTCCTATCCCTAAAATCAGGCCAAGCCGAAAAGGGAATCCGATTTAATCAGAGCAGTGGGCCGAAGGGGAGGCGGGGATCAAGCGAAAGGATGTCCACCATCCGTGTCCTTCCAGAGGAGCAGCCTAATGAGCGATTGTGTTTTATTTTAATTAACCGGCGTCTCATTTAACGAAACAATCGCCAAATGCCTCCAGTGGGAGGAAGAGGCGTTAAGTTCACCGAGAAGGAAACCATGTGCAGGGAGATCCGCGGTGCGCTTGAAATAGCCCGGCTTCTGCAGTAACCAGGAGCTAGCAGGGCCTGCCTTGCAAGCCGTCCGGAGGGTCTTTCTTACCCTGTACAGGAGACGCAAAACCCCCAGCAAGAGAAGAAGGTGGAGGAGAAAGGCAGCGATTTCCCCCCCAACCCCCCGGAACTGGAGGGGTGGGGATGGGGGATGTGTGGAAAGGGAACGACCCCCCCCCCAGAAAGAGCAGGCTCGCATTTTTTTACAGCCTTGGTACCTGGGAGTGGTAAAGAGAGGAAAAGGGGTTGTCTGGGAATGGCTCATTAGGGATGACAAATGTATAGAGGAGATCAACACCTGGCACTCTCCGCCGGCCCCCATCCCATACACTCTTAACCGAGCGCAAGTCTAAAGGATGTAAGCTTGCTTAGGATCGCATCCTCAGAAGTGACTGGGCAGAAACTCCCGTTAAGAGTCTGGCATGCAGAACTAGTGAAGGAAAAGCGCCCTGCGCTCCAGCCTTTTCACAAAGGCTTGGTGGGAACGACCACGCTCGTTCCTCTACCGATCCGGAATAGAAGACCACCTCCACAAACTAGCCCATTGCAGACTGTTCAAACCGCTTGTACTTATATGCCCCTGGCGTTGTTTGGTTGCTGTCCACACCCCCTTTTATTTTTGTTTTGCTTTTCGAATGCCTCTCCAAGCCAAGTAGTTAATCCGAAAAGAAAGCAGAAACCAAAACCCGAAGGTAGGTGGTCCGCTTCAACACATTACACCCCGCACTGGCCCTAAACAAAAAACCCCAAACCCATATAGATCCCGCCGACAAAACCCGCGAGTCCCTTGCCACATCCATAGAGCAGGTCGGGCGAGGCAGGCGTCGGAGGGGAGGCCTGCTATACAAGAGGGGCCGTCGCAGCGGGGCCCGGAGCTCTGAAAAGCCGTGTCCTCGAAAAGCAACAGTGAGCTTGAGATCACACTATATACTTGCTTTGGCTTTTAAATCAAAGCGGTGGTCGTCGTGGTTAAATCACCTCGGAATTCTTCAGCGCTTTTCTTACAAAGAAAGAAACACCTAGCGGCTCTCAAGGGCCGGGGGCGGCAGACGCCTCTTTGGCACCGAAATCGAATCCCATTTGGAGTCGGCCGGTCACTCCCGCGGAGTTTTGGCCGCCTTGTAGGGGAATTCGGGGCAGAAGCGGAAGCCTGGGCCTGGGTCTTTGTTCTGCAGCTTTCCAGACATTTTCTGACACACACCTCCTCTTTCTTTTTCTCTCTTGGGTTACTTAAAGAAGCCTATCTGTACGCCCCACAACCTGCGCCCCACCGTTGGTCGTTTTATTTTCGTTTATGTTTTCTTGGCGGCTGCTGCTGCTGCTCCCCCCCTTCTCTTCTTTTTCTTCCCGTGACCGACTTCCAATTTAGTGGCATATTGAGCATATTATATATGGGGCGGGGGGGGGCGCGCGGAGGCCGCTGTAATTCCAACCCGAATGTATATATATATATATGAGGAGAGAGGGAGAGAGCCTGAGAACGGGCCGCGCTTGCCCAGGCGACCTCCAAACCAGAACGGCCGGAGCCCCCAAACCCGAGACTCCCGAGCGCCTTAATCGCTTTGTTGACAGAAGCCTCCGTTTCCTCCGAAGTCGCTCCCGAAGGCGCGCACTGGGAAGCAAATTCCGTGTGCATTTCAGCGGAACTTGAACGCGTTCCAAGAGAGCCTTTTTGGGGGGTGGGTCGGAGGGGAGATGGAAATAAAAAGGGGGCACACGGTGGCGCGCGCACAGCACACACCACCTCCTGAAATCAATGTGACTTTGTTCCACTCCGCGCGTTTTCGGATCGATTTATTAGGGCAGGAACTGGACTCGCCGGGCCACTTGGGGTGTGTGGACTGGCGGGGGTGCTGCTCTGTCTTCGCTAACAGTTTGGCCTTTGATTTAAAACCCTGGACCCGCTTGATCCGGTGCCAGCAAGGAAAGACGCAGAAGCCTGGAGCGCCCCTGGATTGGCTGTGGGTTCAGGGACAAGGCATGCTTCTTTTGTGTGTGGAGGGGGTACCCCAAAGTGATTGGGAGCTTCCTCCTCCTGCCCTCTGTCCCCCACAAACCAGCCTTCGATTTACCTATCAAGTATTTCACCTTATTACAGAGAATAGATTAGGGAGGTAGGGAAACCGTTCTGAATTAAAAACCAAACCAAACCAGTAGCTTTATTCCCTGCATATTGGAGACTATTTTGCTTTTGCTGTTGTTGTTGTCGTTTCTACAAAGTTTCTGCTGCCGTGGATGGGGGTTCGCCCTGGCAGGAAAGACAGAAAAAGGGGGGCAGATCAGCCAGGGTTTTCTGACCGCCGGTGGGTCTTTCGATGAGAATGGAGGGTCCAGCGCTCTTTTTCCTTCCTTTCTTTCCCCTAAATAAACAGATCTGAGTCGACCTGGGTGGGCAGAAGGGAACAATTTGTGAGCCAAGGAGCGAGCCTTACCTGCAGGAGACTTTCACCTGACCTCTTGCTGGAGAGGTTGGGGGTAAGCGGGTGGGGGTGAGCGGGTGGGCGGGGAATTCAGACTCCATATATTACAAGCCCGAGGAAAATCCAGCTCAATTTCGCTCGTCCTTTTTTTCTTTTCCTCAAATAGAGAAAATTCTCCCTCTTCTCGCCCCCCTCTGCCGCCCTGCCCCCATCACCCCTGGGAAAAGGCAGGAAAACCAACACATTTGGAGCTATTAACTCTTCAGAGAGCTGAGAGGCGAACTGGATGCCTCTTGCCTGCCGCTCTCAGAACTGTGCCTGCCCTTAAAACAAGCAAGAATCAGTGTGGATCAGAAGCGCAAAGTATGCCATGATTGCAAAGGAGACCTTTTAATGAATTTCTACTTTTAAAATTATTTGCGCGTCAGAAAATGCCCAAGGAAGGGGCCCTAAAATCACCGGGAGCAAGCAAGCGCCATTTCAATTCAGGAGATGCCAGAGTGCTTATTTTATTGGATAAAAATGCTTGCAGAGCGGTGCTTCGATAAAGCATAGAATCCAATGCGATAATTATTAAAAAGCAATGCTCAGTGTATCAATGCCCGCTCGTCAAGGAAAGACCCCCTTTCTAAATGTTCTTTAAAGCTACGGTCTTAAACACACTTTCTAGACGATAGATCTTGACTTTTTTATATATATAAAAAAGTCAAGAGAAAGGCGCGCTACTGTTTCTGTTGTTTGCCCCGAAGTGGGCTCTAATTTGAGGGGCTCGGCGTAGCTCTCATGCCAAATGTCAACTAAGGAGGGAGCGAGCATTAAGAAAAGGGCGGCGGAGAGGGCAGGACGAGACGGAAAGAGGGAACAACCGTCGGGCAGAAGCAGATCTGAGAAAGAACTGCGCACTCTTTCTGTGGGATTATTAAGCCGCGAAAACGTGCAAGGTCTAAACGCGCTCTCTCTCATTTAGAAGGTTTAAAAACCCTTTTCTTAGAAGGCATCTGCAGAAACCACACCGCCATTCCCCTCCCCAAAACACCCCTTCCAAAACAGCCGTGGATTGCCAAGGAAAGCGGGGAGGCGCGCGAAGCAGGGAAGGCTCCTTTCGAGTAGACTTGGGGAAAGGGCTTCCTTCATTCGCCCTCTGCACATCCCGCGCTGTACCTCTCTCTCGTTTTGTTTTGCTTCCTCGAGCCTGTCAAAACTCGGCCGTGTTTGCCTGTTTCTGGAGTTTGTTGTGTCTGGAGGCAAATGACCCGCCCCTGGGAGCAGGGAATGTCATCCCTCCGGCGAACATCTCGCACGACCTGCTCGGGGATTATGATGAGGAACCCTCGCTGCAGCAGCAGTTCCAAGCAGAAACCATCTAACGACTCCCCACGTCCTCCTGCGTCGTCGGGGGACGCGGGGGAGGGGGATCGAAGACAGCCCGGCTCCCGTTTCCCTCCGCTGGCCTCTGCGCACAGACAAAGGCAAGGCGGGCATGCCCACCCATTCACCGGACGCTCACAGCAATGGCTGGATTCCTCTGGAGTAAATAGGGGGACGTGTGTTCGGGTGCTGCTCCGCTCGGCTTTGGAGCGTTAAAGAGACGCGTCTAGATACTACATAGGCCTCTTTGGAGCGGGTTATCGGCGCAGTGCCGGGTCTCAGCCCTTAACAAGCAAGTCCTCGGTTTTCCACGGGGCCTGCCTTCCAGCTGAGTTTTCCACTCAGGGGCGGAGCGGGACTGGCCTTTTCGAAGGACGCCGATCCGTCCTTCTCCTATCGCCTAGGTCGATCTCAAACCTCCCCAAATCCATCCGTCTCAGCCGTCCGTCTTGGGGGCCTTCGGGCTCCTTTCTAATCACCTATTAGTTTCAGTTTAGAGCTGGGGGCGAGCGGGCAGGGATCATATATCACCCTTTAATTGATACGGCAAGTCTCCCCTATGCAGCTGACCCAGAGCTCTTTTCCAGCCAAGGCAGAGAGGTAATCTTAGAGGGTAACCAGGGTCTCCGCGTCTCTCTGCAAAAGAGAGATAGAAAGAGATCGCCAGGCGAAAACCAAGAGGAAATTGTCACTTGTTCGCCAGTGTGTTTATCACATTATAGCTTTTCTCTTCGACAACAGGGGAAGGGACGCTGAAGAGAAGATGCTGCGTAAGATTGGTGCCTCGGGCTGCGCTCGGGGCTGACACGGCCAGCTTCTGTCCTCCCTGTCCACTACCTTTTCCGTCACCGGTTAGAGACCCAGGCCTGGCCCAAAGAGCCGCTCGCGGTTTCTGGAGCGCTCCAAACAAGTAACTGAAGGGAGGAAGAGGCTTCACACCCTGAGAGCAACCTGAGCAGCGAGGCTGGGAGGAACTGGCTGAGATGTCTGGAATGCCAGCCGCGTTGAGACTGGGCTGTGGGTGCGGGATATGCGAGGGGAAACGCCGGGCAGTTGCAGGCGCCCGCTTGCTGAACCTTGATCCTTGCAAAGCGCCACTCTCCACCCTCTCCACCCTGTTGCGCACAAGCAGAGCAGGAAAGCACCAGGGGCCCAAACTGCGGCTCATTTCTGGGTTTCAGACACCCTCTTGTCCCCACTCCGTGGTGCCAGAGACTGGTCACCGCCACCAGCTCTCCCACACACCCCCTCGGGCCCACTTCCCCTTGGATTGGGAAGTTGAGAGTGCCACTGAGAGAGATCGAGCCCACGGCTTCTTTTCCCACTTCGAGGCCCGGTGTGATCTTTTTCTTAGGGGAAGAAGGACGGGTAGGCTTGATGGTCAGATACACAGAGAGGGCAAAGACATATCGCAGCCGCGCCAGGAGCCCATTTTAGGAAACAAAACGCAGCTCCGTCCTGTTTTCCTGCTTTTTTCCGCCAACCTGCACGCGGCAGAGCTGACGGGATGAGCTGGAAGATGCGGGCTGCACGGTCTCTTCTGGTGGGACTTGCCGGTTATTATATAGCCAGCGTCTGAAACAAATCACTCTGCAGTGAAGATGCGAGATGTGCGCATTCCTTGTCGGAGGGAGGATCCCACTGGGCCTTGACAAGGAATGCGAGCTGGCCAAGCAGACCTCCCTCCTCTTCCACCCTCCACAGCAATAAAGCAGTCACCTGCCACGATGAATGTCAACATGCCAGGGGAGTGATATTGCAGATGGGATGCCAGGACTGGAGTCGTCCAGCGCGGCGGCGGGTGGGGAGAAGACGGCTGCATGCAAACCCCCCCCCAAATAATAATGAATCCAGAAGGCCCAGCCCCTGTCCACTTCACCCACTCTTTCCAGAACTTGGGAGGTAAGTCATGCGAGAAAAAAGGGGGAGGTCTCCAGCTCCCCATCTTCTCATAATCATCAGGTAGTTTACTTTTCATTAACCCACACGACCCAACTTGCGCTCATCTCACTCAGTCAAGACTTGGGAGGTAAGTCCTACAAGGGAAAATAAAACTACATGGTAATTATGATATACCAGGGCTGCTCCTTTAAATTGCTTGAACACACCCAAACACCACAAAGGAACCGCCCTGCCAGGGGATCCCCTCGAAGGCGCGAAGATCAGGAGCCAGAGTTTCCATAGGATGCTTACTGAGAGTCGTAACAGGCGCAAAAAAGGTGTAAGCAAAGATAAGGAGCGCAATGCGAAAATCGTTACACGCGCCAGCTCCCACCGAATGCAATTACGCATGATTTCAGTGGTGCTCAGTTGCAAGTTTATTTTGCAAGATTTCAGTCTCGTGCCGTTGAACAGTCAAAATGTAGGCTCTATAATGGCACAGTAAAAAATAACAACAGGAACGCCTCTTCTCAGTACCATCGCTGGGGAACCTCCTTACACCGGGTCCCCTTCCTTTCGCCAGGCTTGTCCACGCCTTGCCTTGCCCTCGCAACATTTCCTAACCCTTTCCGCTCAGCGGCGTTAAGGCGCCACACACCCCAAACTTAAACCTTGGGGACAGCAGTTCTGTAAGGGTAGTCTGTGTCTCTCGAACAGAAATTACGCTATCTCAGTAAACCTACTATGAAAGCTCAGGGTACTTTAACGTGAGTCCAAACAGCGGACGTACTTTACAAGTGATTTAAATTTGTGGCGTGCATTTCTGTGGGGATGGCGCAGGAGAACCTTCCGGTGGCTGGCGCTGTGAAGCCACCACTTTCCTTGAACTGACATACCAGTTTTGCCACGGATTTTGATGCAGCCGGAAAAACAAAGAAAAGGAGCATCCCTGCACATTCCCTAATAATGGGACCAAGTCAGTCAGAATCCCCCCACTCCCTTTAAATTTAAAAATAAAATATCTGAAGCCTGTGTTTTAGCTTCTTGTAGCGCATTATCAGGGCTGTACCTAGCCACGATTTCTCAGCACCCCGGTCCCCTCCGGCGCGATAGAGGCCGGCGCCGGGGAGGTGTGGAAGTGTGACCTGTCCTTAAACACAGCCTGACCCTAAACACGTCGCCGTTTTCGATGGCGGTGCGGACTTCCCGAGGGCGCCTGAGCTTTCTCCCGGGACATTTTAGCCCTCGAGAGCCCCGTCTGCGTGTCGGTCTACCGCAGACCCCTTTCGGTCCAAATCAGTCCGGATGCGTGGTTTGAGCGCACTGGCAAAGAAAAAAGCAGCGGAGAAGCGCTCTTAGCGCAAAGGCGAACAACACAAGAGAGTCACAGGCAGTGATTTCCAGGGGCTCCGCAGCCCTCGGGTCTAGCTGATCATGTTGGGAAGCAGCAGTTTTATTGGGGAGAGCCAAGTGGCAGCTCAGCTCAGCTCAGCTCGCCAGCAACTGTCTGAAATCGCCCACATAACCGGCAGTGGCGGGAGCATGGCGAGGGCAGGAGTGAAGGGGCGAGAAAGGAAGCCGTCTAGTCCGGACACAGGTCGGGGAGGGAGCGCAGCGGAAAGGAAAGTCACCCCTTTCCCCAGGAGGAAGACGAGCGGCCCTGGGAGAAGCGAGCGGGCCTTGGCCGGTTGGCAACGCGCTCCCGCAGCCACTTGCCCTTCCGTGCAAGGCCTGCAGCAAAGCGCAGAAGCCAAGCGGCTGGCTCACTCGCTCGCTCCCGAAGGTGGGAACCTTCTCCTCGGCTTGGCAAGCCCAGAGGCGGCTGGCCTCTCCTCGGCCCAGCCAAACAAGAGCCCCTCTTGTTCTCCCAGCGCCCCCCTCCTTCCTTGCACCTGCGTGGAGCTGCGAGTAGCGCCAGGCAGCGGCGGCTAAGCTCAGCCTCTCCGCTGCTGCTGCTGCTGCGAAGGCAGCCTCGAGGAAGCATCTGGTCCCAATTGGGAGCCCCCCCCTTCCCCGGCCCGCCAGCTCCTGTTGCCCCTCTGAGCATCAGCCAGGCCGGCCCCAAGCCCTGGCTAACCCCGAAACCACCTCCTCTCGCGGCGCGCACACTTTCCATCGCACCGCCCGCCTCCCTCGCAGGCAGCCACACAAAGAGTGCTCTCTCTCTCTCTCCTGCAGGCTGGGCAAAGCTCCCTTCGCCGCCTCCCCCACCCGCCCTACACACCTCCTGAAAGCAGAGGGCTACCTCTCGCTGCGACCTCTCTCTCTCTCTCTTTCTCATTGCCCTCTCCTCCTCCTGGATTCCTCATCGGTTCTACTCCCGGCTTGGAAATGCATGCGCGCTGCTTCTAACCTACCCGGCTGTCTCTCTCTGCCCTTCTAAAACCAACGCGGGAGACAGGGCTGGGCTGAAAGTGGTTCGAATCCAAGAAGGGACTTTTACCCGGGACCGGACGGCAGTCAGCAGTCAGACTCCCTCAATCCGCACTTCATGACTTCAACGCAATTTCCGCGTTAAGAGACGTGGGCCCGCAACTTTTGCGACGCGACCGTGTTTTGACTGAAATGCAGGGTCGCGAGGAAAAGTTGGCAATGCCCCACCCTTTCGTTTCAAGGCAAAGAGTTAAAAGAAGCGCAGAGGGCGATTGTCAGGCGGGAGAGCCGAGGGGAAGGCAAATGTATGGGACCCGCGACCTCTGCTTAACCTTGGTACATTGGCACCAAATGTTTCAACAATATTTACTTGCCTTGAAGTCTGGATTTCCCTCCTCTCCTTTTAATCTTTTTTAAGGCCATCTTTGTGGCAGCTTCAGGCTCCTATATGTCTAATTATAGTAAGCAGAAACAGGATGGGATGTGAATAGCTCTGTTGTGTGCAGGAATTGGGTGCTGTACAGAGAGGCTTTTTGTCACAGGTTCTCACCCTGCAAACATGTGCATACACAATGCTGAGGTGGGGAGCTGAAGAATCAAAAACATAGCAAGCTCCCTGGTCTGCCGTGGAGAGACATCTAAAGTCAGTAAGGATTAGGGTGATGGAACTGTGCACTGCAAGCCTGAGTTACCCATACTGTAAAGGGTTCTGGCAGTGGAAAGGACAAGTAGCTAAGGGCTAGCGGGAGGGAAGCATAATCCCTTTGCCCCCTGAACAAATAACATTAAGGAGACTATCCAAAAAAACCCCCACCTTCTTATATGTAAGACCCATTCAATACAAATAAACTTTTTACATTACATTTCACACATGAAAAGCACATCTGTGTAGGAAATAGTATGCAACCCACATGTAGATCATTTAAGATTTTTTTTTAAAAAAAATCATTTCCAAACCTCTGATTGCCTGGTAGGTTAAATATTAATCAGGAGGTGCAATGCAATGTTCAGAACTCAACATGATTCCATTGGATAATATAGCTATGATTTTGCATAAATCTAATTGTGTCAGTAGGATGGATCCACCATACATTGGGTTTTCCAAACATTTACCGTACTTCAGACAGCATTGTAAAAGAAAAAAGAAGTACCCTAACTTTGGAAAGGAAGCGTAACTCTA